TTCTCCAAGTAGAATACAGAATTTGGAACCAAGTTCAAATCCCTCCTAGATTAGTTATTCAGTCATTCAACAAACCAGGCAACACCTAAGTGTGGTCCTATTCTAGGTGCCACAGAAAGAATGGTAAAGAAAATAAACCTCCTGCATTCATGAAGCTTATTAAATTCCAGTGGTGAAAAAAGACAATAAGTAAGGACAGTAGTGACAGCACTATAAAGAAGAGTAAAGAATAATTCAGGGTAAGAGGGAAAAGTGTGATGGGTGAGTGAGGGGGAGGGACTAGGGCAGAAGGTGACCTAGAAGCCTGTCAAGGCAGTACAATTTGAGGAGAGTCAAGAGTGATAAGAGGGAGTGTCCAGGGAGAATAGTAGGGAAGAGGATTCTAGGCAGAGGGGACAGCAAGAGTAAAGACCCTCAAGTACAAGGCTAAAAGGTTGGTAGGTTTGTTGACAGAAAGTTGTGGAAATCCACATCTATTCTCAGTGAATTAAGAGTGAAGTGCACAGTAAGAGTGGAGCAGAGGAGGGGGGGGCTCTGAAACAGTTGTATGAGAAAATGGGAGAGTGAATAGACTAGGGGAAGGGGTAGAATTGTGGGGCAGTGGAAGGTCAACTCGAGGTTTGTGATTGAAAATTTAAATGAGAATCATTTCTCTGGTGGTGTATTCTTCTCCACGCAGACATGGAGAAAGTGGAGAGCTGAGCTGAGTAAAAACCTCTCCGTGATCCCAATAGAAAACAGTTGACACAATCAAACTGAAATAATTTTAGACTGACTTAATAAAGGTACAGTTTAAAAGATGATGAGAGTGCTCCTGTGCCAATTCCAGGCCTTGAACCTCAAGAAGGTTTGTGAAATTCTACTTTTGCAATTTTGGGAGCCCTTGAGTCACCAGGCCCAGCTACTCTGCTGGAGAGACCATGTGGAAAGACCTTATGGAGGAGGCACACAGAGGGCAAGTCTCTGGGACTACTGGGGAGAGAGAGAAATATCACTTTCCTCAAACCCCAGTGGAGTCCAGCCTTCTTATTGTCCCCACCCAGGTACCAGGCATGAGAGTGAAGGCATCTTGGACATTCCACTCCAGTCATCATATGATTACAGTTTTATGAGAGACCACTCAGGAGACCAGCAGAAGAACCATTCAGCTGAGCTTTAGTTAGCTCACAGAGTCATAGAAAATAAAACGGTGGTTGTTCTAAGTAAGTCTTGTGATAGGTAACTAAAACGGCCATCAGCCAGGCAGCAACCCCCAGAGAGGGAGCCTGGGAATAAACATTTCAACCTCACTCTTCTCCCTCCCTCTGACCTTGTAGATGCTCCCCATACATTGAACATAGTCAGCAGCAGAAGGCAGGGGGGCCTTTAATGCTGTCCATAAAGGTCAGCCTCTAGGACAGAGCAGGGGAGAGAAGCCTGGAGGTTGGATCTGGAGAGGCCAATAGAAGGGTATTCTGCAGGGTCCACCCCCTTTCTCCTCCAGGGCTGACTCTTGCTCTTCATGCAGGTGAAAATTAGTCTCCCTATCACAGGTGACATTCAAAGTCCTTCAGCTTCTAGATCATCACGGGAAAATGTCTATGCAGTCATAGTCCCACCTGAGACCTAAAACATTAGCCAACACTAGCGTTCTTCATATCGGATGGCCAGGATAAGGGGGGAAGGGAAGTAGAAAAGTAATTAACTCTTATAAAATGTTACCATCCCTTCTTCTGTGACTGGCCATGAGGTATAAGCAGGTGGTAATCACAGCTGCTTTCTTTCACATTCACTTCACGTTTCTCTTACCCTCTGATAGCACCTCAGCTGGATGGAGTTCTTGACCTCATAGGGTAACTCAAACCTTCATCCCTATCAGATCGGAGTCCTTAGTGGTCTTGTTTTATTCCGTTCCTACAGTTTCCCATTGCCTGGGACAACTGGCCAAGTGAGTACTAGGAGACACCCAGTGAATTCTTTGGGCTCCACATATAGTTCTCTGCCTTCTTTGTGTATCAGCAACCCAATATCTTCCTGGTAATCAGGATCAATGACCCCAGTCAGCATAGTAGTCTCATTCTCTGTTGCTTCCTTGGGCATCAGGATCTCTAAATCCAAAGAGGCCAAGGTCACAGGGACAAAAAGCAAAAATTCTTCAAGTGTATGGTGTAATAAAGGGACCACTCCCAGCTCCAGTCCTTGGTTCCCAGGCTCATGCATTCTGACTAGGAAAAAGAAGATACCATATATCGGTCACTGGTTAAAAGTATACCTCAGTTTATAGATCAGCAGCCCAACTTCACAGGGTGATATCTTCCAGCTGATGTCACTGCTAAGCCTTCAGCAGGCATCCCACGGAGCTATTACACCAACCACTTCTATGTAGTGGAGCCTGTGGAGAGATCAGTGAAGTTCACAGACGCTGAGTCTATTGCTCCACTTCTTTTGCCATAAAATGCATCCCCAAGTCTTAGGGATATGTTGGTGATGGATAAGGTATTTCAAGAGCTCAAAAACCGATGGAACTGGCAGAAGCACTGAGATCTTGCCACTGATTTTCCAGAATTAATTTTTCCAAGTCTCTGACCAACAGCATCACTGTCTGTGTGTCACTACAGTTCTGCACTTGAGGCTACCTCTTCTTCCATATGAAGCACACAACTAGGTGCAGCATCCAGAGTTCTGCCCATAGAAATGTCTCTTCACTGCTGGCTTTCTGGGCCACCTTTTGGCAGAGTGCTTGTGTGGCAGACACCACTTCCAGCTGTGATCGTGTAACAGGCAGACCACCAATAAATCCAGCCTATATTTTTCCTCTATTAACTGGCCCCATGGAACTCCTTACAAGGCACTGCTGCAGACTGAGGAAAGGGTGACAAGGCAGTAGGACGATGGGCATCTGTGCCACCTACTTACACTTTCCTTGTGGTTTCCAGGTCTGCTTACAAGACTGGTCATAACATTTCTATTTTATAAGAAGTCTTCTGTGCATGTACAATTTTGATATTTTGGTGGAATATATAACATCCCGTTCATGATGGGCAGTTTGGGTCACAGGTGTCTGTCAGGGCCCAATAGTAATCCGGGAGTTTTCTTTCTTTCTTTCTTTCTTTCTTTCTCTCTTTCTTTCTCTCTTTCTTTCTTTCTTTCTTTCTTTCTTTCTTTCTTTCTTTCTTTCTTTAATGGAGAATAGTTGAAGGCCTTTCAGGAGTTGAATCCTTCCAATGAGGGATGCAGCCCATAGTGAGTTCTTAGGGAGGGCGTTGGAGTAATAAATACCCTAACCTCACTTTCCTCCCTCTCTGTGACCTCCTTCTGGGATTCTATGGGCTGAGCTCAAATGGAACTCAGAGAAAAAGGGGTTCATGATGACTGTAGACCATATAAGTCACCTTCCCAGGGCACAAAGCGAGGTAGAGAAGGATGGAAGGCAGATCTGGAGGGGAAAATAGAAGATATCCTGCACATCAAGTGACTATAGTAAACAGAGGAGTGAGATAATTAAGAATAAAGCAAAAGATCATAACCCTTAAGCTAGGTAAAAGGAGTAATGAGGACATGGGGGGAAGAGGAAGGCAGTAAGAAAAGTACAGGATCCTGTAACTATAGGTCCAAATGGAGGTCCAAACAAAGTATTTATGTGGAGAGACCACGGTAAGTTGGAAAAATTGCACGTGCCCGTAAGAGAAGGAAATTGCTTAAAATAGAAATTCTGTGTGAAATATTGGTCATGATAAGGTTTAAAGTAGCACTGTCCAATAGAACTTTCTGTGATGATGGAGGTGCTCTATATCTGTGTTGTCCAATACTACAGCCACGAGCCACATGTGGCTACTGAGCACTTGAAATGTGGCTCATGTGACTGAGAAACTGAACTTTAAATCTTATTTAATTGTAATTAATTGAAATAGCCACCTGGGGCTGATGGCTGCTAAATGGAGCAGTAAGGTCTAGAGTACGATCACATCAGCTGCTTTATCGGGGCTTGCGATCCTAAGGCAGCAGAGTGAGAGAGAAAAGGAAGGGGGAGAAGCAAAGACATTGTGGGGAGTTGCTGAACTGGCCACACAGGAGGTCTCTGGAGGTGCCACGTGGCACTGTTTTAGTGGGAAGGAAGAAAGATGCACTCAGCTACTGGCTGCTTCCCGTCACCTGCCTCCCATTGTCTGAGCTTGCCCCACAGGGTATTAATTACCCCGTATTTCTGGGTTGTGCCGGGAAAGCAATGCATTTAATGCTTCATCTAATCTGGAAGTGGTGGAAAAAGCCAGTCAGTGGGTCAGTTTGGACCTGGATGCTGAAGCTGCTGCTTCGTGAGTTGGCATGAAGGAGGTGAGGCCAAAGCCAGGTCCTCACCCTGGGGGAGTCTGAGTTAGCCGGGATGTTAGGAGACTAGGTGAGCTCATCGAGCAAGAGGCCAAGGTCAGGGGTGGGGTCAGTGGGAGCCTGACCTGGGAGTGTACAGTGGGGCATAAAATTAATGTGGTATGTTGTGAGTGACCTTGGGCAAGTCGCCTAAGCACTTCAGGCCTAGTGCCCTCTTCTGTGCAATGGGTAACAGTACCTACCTCATATGCTGGCTTGAATTATTCACATCTATTACCAAGTATTACTATATGAGCTTTGTAATAATAGGTGAGGCAGCTATTATTCTTGCCATTTTATGGATATGAAAATTGAGGTTAAGAGGGGTTAAATTAAAACCCTTATAAATGGCAGAGCCAAAGTTCATCTGACTCATCCTCTTACTCTTTCTACCATATCACACTTCCCCTGAAGATTTCATCAGAGAACTGGATTTCAAAACTCTTAGAGAAAGATTTAAGCATGAAAGTGAGCAAAAAGTTACATATGGGTACAGATATTAGAAAGGGTAAAATGTGTGTACAACAACATGCAATTCTAAAATTTCTTAATTGATTTTATAAAGTAAAATGTGTTTTGAAAGCAGTTTCTAAGTAGTTTTAGAAGTACTCCAAAAAGTGTTTGTTTTGAAGTAATTTATTTCTGTTGAATCACAGTCATCTGTTGAAGCATAAAACATAAGACCCATCCATCCTTCCGAACAATTTTCAGGGGAACTGGTCTCATTTGCTAGGCAAGCACAGCAGGAGAGCGGCTATCACTGAGATCACACATGCTCTGACTTGTCAAGACCTACCTTCGAGTTTCCTCTGCCAAGTAACAGGCTCAGCTATCATGATCTCTAATCCCTTGGATCCAGCTGCCTCTCAGACTGTTAGAGCCAAAGTCACACAGCTTCCACTGACAGCGAACCTCTTTTAAAACTGAGTTTGGAGGAAAAGAAAACGAAATGGAAGGATTAATTAAGTAAAGGCCCTCCAGACTGCTAATTAAAAAGAGCCGTGAACTGTTAGTTTTTTGCACTTTATGTAAATGTAGAGAAAAATCAAGAGTCTTTTAAAAATAGGGTTGTGACTTTCTAGCCTTCAAACTCTCCAAGTAAGGTGATACGGCAATGACGTTAATGCAATGGAGGTAAACAGAGCTCCTCACGTGGCAGAGACAAGCCATCTAACTGAAGACTTTTCTTTGTAAATGGTATGGACTTCATAAGGCTATGGAAACAGAAACTGGCACCTGTTAACTGATGTTATTACCCCGAGAAGCTAATGCCGGAAGGGATGAGGAGGTCATCCAAGTGTTAGACTGAGTCAAGTGTCCTGGACATCCAGGGCCTCCCCAACATGAGAGAGACAAACAGGGGTTCTACGTCTTCAAACTTACTCTCCTAGCCCTAAACCAGAAAGTGGTGGCTGGGCCAAAAGGTACAATGATAATGAAAGTAGTCTCCTTTCACGGGGACCTGAAGGGTGAGCTACTACTGATGTAAACACTTACATGGACTATCTCTGAGGCCATTTGTAGTGATAAGGAAGAAGAGTTTCAAATGCATTATACTCTAGGATGGTGGAGTGCTGTATAAGCAAATTTCAAATAAACCTTCCATCAAAAGAGATAGAAACTGTGCTGTCAGAGAAGAAATAAATCTGCTTTATGACTTTATGTTCTTGTTCCCAGAATGGTGCCCTCCACAGATACAGCAGGACACAACAAATCTTTGTCATCAATGCTGATAGTAAAAAAGCTTGATTTTAAAAAATAAACTTGTCCTGAGGTTTCCAAGGTAATTATTTGTTTGCCTTTTACTTTCAGTGGTCAGGGGATGAAAACATGTATGCTTCGACTTTACATTATCTCATGGGGCATTAACTGGCTGTCATTTCACAAACAGCTGTGAAAAAATGTTTTCAAACTACTGGTGTTTTCTTTAGACAAATTCTCATTTCACTCCCTCTCCTTTCTCCAACATTTACAAATATCACTTAAGGTTCTTCTCCTTGCCAGTTGTGTGATGTTGAGAAAATTACATAATTTCTTTGATCCTATATTTCTACATTAATGCCTACTTCACAGGGATGTTCTGAAAAGTACGTGAGTTGTTATTGGTGAATGTCCTCAGCAGGATTCATAGGACTATTAGATTAAAAACATGCAAAACAATGACAGTTAAGTTATACTGATGATAATTAAAATTTCTCTTTTGAATCTAATGTGAATATCAGAAGAAAAAGGGAAAGAACCAGGAAATAGTCCATATTTTACAAAGTACTTTAGAAGAAAGTCAGTGACATATGACCTAAACCTTTTTCTCAGATTTAAGCCAATTCTACCTTTTCTGCAATATGGCAGTTTGAATTTTATTTTTGAAGAATTTTGTTTACATCAAAGACCTTTACACATCTAGATTTTTCAGAGTAAATACAAAAAATTATCAGGAAAAGAATCCTGTAGCATTTCTGGTTTCACCTAGGTCTATCTTATAATGGTTTGCAAAATGGGACAAACTGTTTAATTTTCATGAATCCTGTCTTTCTCAATTAAGATTTTGTGCAAAAGAAACTAATGCAATAAGTTCCTGCTCATAAATCCAGAGTTGAATGGAAATCAAGTTTCTTTAAAAATCATCAGCAGCAATAAATATTTAGTGATTTCCTACTATTCTATGCAGTATGTAAACAGTGGGGATATAATTCAAGCTTTCAGGAAACTGACATTTAAATCATTCAAAAGGAAAGTTAGGAGAGTTGATTATGAGCATGCTATTCTATGAGAAAACAATTCTCTTTCTTTGTTAGAAATTTTGTCTTCTTTTTCTGTTTGATTTTGTATGATTCTGGTGTTAAACTGGAACACCCTGTGGGGTGTCGGAAGAGAGCATTTCAGTGTAACGGGTTCTGGGGTGGGGTTAGGCAGAACGGGCAGGGGCTTGAGTATTCATCTGGCTTGGGATTTGCCTGTTTTATAAATGAGAACTAAAGTCATTATTTAGAAACAAAAGAAGAAACCCTCTCATTAAACCCATGAGATTACAAGTGCACTAGTGAAATTAGGGTCAGAAGAGAATGAATGAAGATGCCAAACTATGATCAAGTATCCAATAAGATGCTATGGAAATACCCAAGATAGTATATAACCCAACTTTGGAGGGAAGGAGGAGCAGACCTAATTGAACTTTAATGGGATAAGTAGGCGTTAACCATAGGAAAGAAGATTGAGAAAGGAAGAACTCATGTTCAGGAGCTCAAGTTCCAGGACTAGCAAGCACCACATTTGGAATGGTTGTTGGAGAGCTGAGAGATGAGGCCAAAATGGTGAGCAGAGATCATATCAAGAAAGACATTAACTCTGTCATGAGGCAATGAAGATCCATTAAAGGATTTAGGATAGGGGAAGGCTATAAGCAGATGTGTCTGATTAAGATCCCTCAAGACTAATGTGGGGAATAGATTGAGGAGATCGTCTGGATATTGGCCCAGTTTTCCCTCAGTGCCTTACAGGGAAGAAAGCGACATGCAATAAACCTGTTTCTCAAATTTAATCCAATTTTAATTTTTTAATGTTGCTCACAGAAGCAACTCAGAGATCTTGACTAACTACCTAAATAAATAAATTCAGTTTGTAAACTTCATGTAAATACATACTGCTAATGTATTAGTAGGTTTTCATAGAAACAAGAACTTCAAGAAAAAGTGGGTGTGGTTCTAGCTATGATTTTTTTCCTTGTGCAATCTCTATGGTTTTATTCCTTTGTTTTTTCATTTAAAATTATTAGTCATGTCAGATATCACACACAGTTGTATAGTTAAGGATCTTTACTCCCTCTTTGAAGGGCACAAATACCTCCATGAAATACAGATGTTACTTTCAAGATTTTTCATAAGCGACTTAAAACTGAAATCAGTAGAATATGTTCTTAATTTTTTTAGTTTCTCAGTAGTATAAAACTTAACAGTGTAAAACATTGCTCAGTGATTTCCTTTCTGTTGCTTAAAGCATACTCAGGATTAAGGACTCTTGCGGTTTTCATTAAGATAAATTTTGAGAAACACAAAACATTCAGTCTGTTCATTCAAAGGTATTAAGACATTTTGCTGCATAGAGAGGCAGTGCCTTTTGCTACTTCTCCAAATTTTTCTCAGCTATTGGCCTCTTCTACTATTACTGGCAGAAAAATTTTTAGTTCCTCCCTTCTAAAGCAACTTCCTTCTAATAGTAATGCCTGTCTACCTTTCAAAACCAAAGAATATAAAAGAACTTACAACAAAAAGCAACAGTCACCTGCCCCACCCCATGTACCATATTCCAGAGGAAACTACTTTGAATCATTTTCTTGCTATTTCTTAATTCATCAATTTTAGACATTTTCTTTTTTTACTTCCTGCTATGACAAATGAGGGTTTAGCACATTTATTCCATATCTCAGTTCATTTACCTTCTTCTCATTTATGTTAGTCATATTCTGATACTATATTTAGTTTCTCTATTGCAGAGGTTACAAATGGATGGCCTGGAAACTAGCTCTGACTACATATGTATTTGTTTGGATTGCAGTGAGTTTAAAAAAAAATGAACGTGAAAAAATGGTAAAATTTCACATTTAAAAAAAAAATCTAAATATTTAGCTTCTCACAAAATGTCATATGGGGCATCTTTTAGTTTCCTAGGGCAGCTGTAACAAAGTATCACAAACCAGGTAGCATAAAACAACAGAAATTTATTCTCTCACTGTTCTGGAAGCTAAAAGTCCAAAATCAAGGTGTTGGAAGGGTCATGTTTCCTCTGAGAGCTCTAGGAAAGAATCCTTCCTTGCTTCTTTCTAGCTCTATTAGTTCCCAGAAATCCTTGGTGTTCCACAATTTGTAGCTGTATCACTCAAATTTCTGCTTCTGTCTTCACGTGGCCTTCTTCTCTCTCTGTGTCCATGTCTCTTCGTCCACATCTCCTCTTCTTGTAAGGACACCAGCCATTGGATTTAGGGCTTACCCTAATCCAGTATAACTTCATCTTAACTAATTATATGAAAAAAAACCTATTTCCAAGTAAGATCACATTCTGGGGTTCCAGGTGGGCATCAATTTTGGCAAAATTGCCAAATATGGCTCTTATCCCAAGAACTAATCAAAGCTGGTCAAGTGGCTGTACTCTCCAGATGGGGCACCTACTTATTATGCCAAAATTCTCATCACATCTATGAGGTTAACACATACACTAATACCTGAGCCCTTCTTTTCATGTATATTTACATGCCTCACTCCTGTAAATGTCTAAGTTTGCCAATTGTGCTTTGGTTACCTTCATAACTTTTAAATAATATACCAAAAACTTCTATTTCATGTTTCATAATCTTTTGTCAATATCTCATGGCTCCCTTACTGCTTTGTAAGATCAGGATATATCATGGTAGCTTATGGCAGCCAACTGCAGCAGGAGACTGCAGCCTACGCCGTTGCCGGCGACCCACGGCAGTCCAGCTCCAGGTCGAGCTGCCGTTCAGCATCTTAGCTGTAGAGGGCAGTGTCACTGGCCCTCTTATGTGGGATCCGAACCAGGGCCCTCTGGCATCCCAAGCCAGTTCTCAACCAATGCGCCACTCAGCCGGCCCTCTTCTCATTTTAAGAAGCCAGGATTCTCTCGATACCCAAACCTGAAAAGATATTTAAAAAAAGTTTATAGACCAACACCCATCATTTACTTAGGTGCAAAAATCCTTGTGCAAGTCTAACAATATTTAAAAATGATAATATGCTGACTAAGCATGGCTTATTCAA